TGGAAATTCACTTTCAGGGCATTCGCACACACTGCAATCGCGCAACTTGCACATACCATCATCGGGCCAAAAAGGGCAGTCACACCACAGTTTCACCTGCCATGTTCATAACATGCACATCATACATTGGGGTGAAGAATAAAGTGTTTCAGGTTAAAGAAATGTGTACTGCAAAATTGCCTTTCGCTATCCCTAACTATTGAAACTTGCATCAAACCTTAAAATACCGAAAGAATGGAGTTGTGACAAGCTCTTGGAGTAGAGGATGCAGGACAGCTGCATTAAGACTGTCAACTGTTTCATAATCACAGCAGCAATCTTCGACTATCCCGGTATATTTTCTAGAATCCTGCATTGAAGTACACATGTCATCTATCATTAGTAAATTCAATCCGATCTTTCTTCCAGGGTAATCTTCCAAAGAGCACAATGCTACTGTGAAGTTTCATTGAGAATCAGACCATTTCAAAGTAATATTACCATATTGATCAATTATTAATGTGTTCTCTTCAATTCTGCGATTATACCATAGCCCAAAAGAACGAAGACAAATTTGATTTCAGAAATAATTTCATTTTTTGGCTTCTTCTTCAAAGTAAGTTGACTACACATCAAGAAACCAAAAGCGGAGCACAAAATAAAGAAATCTCCATGAAATTCCAGACGAGATCGGACAAGAATAAACCTGAGAGCACGTACAGGACTTGTAATTGAAGGTGTGCAAAACAATCCCGACGGCCAATGCAACCGCCGCCGCTCCAATCGCCGCCCATGCCCATCTCCTCCCCTGCCTTTTCACCTTCTTCTTCTCTTCCACCATCGCAGCCTGTACGATTCTCCCTTTAAAAAAATCTGGGAAACCTTCAGACTGTAAAACCCCCTAAATATTTCTTCGCATTCCCTATTGCGTTCTGCGCAATTTCAAGAACTCCGGTCGAAAATCTCGAAGCCAAGAATTTGTTCAAAGACCTTAAAGAATGTGGTATGTATATGTGGGTTAGCCGATTCTTCTTCCTGGAGGATGCGCCGACAGTCGGCCGGGAAAGCACGCAGAAGGGTCGCCGCTGGGAGAAAATCAAACGCGTGGGTTTGCGTCATCGAACCAATAGCAGCTTCGGTTTCGGCCAGCCTGGAGGGATGATCGGATCAAGCTGCAAGTTGGGCCGCACGGAGAGGTTTGTCATATGATAACGAGCCTCCTGTATTGGGCCTAATGAATAAAATTTTTAAATACATGTGTTTGGTGAAAATAAAACATAACATAAACATTAGAAAAATGTTAACGGTACACAAAGGTATACTTCATCTCTTCCTTGTCCACATAAATGGGCAAAAAGTTTAAAAATAAATAAATAAAAATCAAATAAAAATGTGTGGTGGAGAAGGGAGTGATGTACATTTGGAATACACCAAAGGTGTACCCCTAGCATTGTTCTAAAGACTAATAACATAAGGATAAGTTACTTGCACCCCAATGATTTTGTACCCCATCTGTATACCGCATGTAGGCACCAATACTTTGTGTTGATGTAATGCTAATTTTTGTTAACACACCAACACTTTGTATCAGTTGTAAATTTTTGTTAACGCACTGATATTTTCTGCCAGTATGAACTATCAAAATGTTGGTACATACTTTTGATGTAAGTTTGGAGTACAATTTTTGGTGTAAATGTAGCATGATCCAATAACATAACCCGATCTAACAATAAAAAATGGGCAAAAGAAGAGATGTGATTCTTATCTCAAGATGATTACATGATTGAATAACTAAATGATAAATAAAATGATTAAAGAGAAAGACTGTTAGGCTAAATTGTTAGGATGACTATCAATTAGGTATCACGATCTCAAAATTGGAGTTCTATCAAAAATGTCAAGCTTGGTACGATATTAATTGAAGAAGGAGATGGTTAAAACATGGTGAAAATATCAGCCATTTGTTTTTTTTTTGGGATATGAACCACAATAAGAGAATTATCATCAACAAGCTCACAAATAAAGAAAAAGAGCACTAGTGTGTAGCACCAGATAATCAGAGTGGAGCTTAGAAGAACTAGCAAGTGACCACCAAGCTCATGTAGAAAGTTGCAAATCTAAATATAACCACCATCATGAATAGTCCAGTCCAGTTTAAGTTATAACACACTGCAAGAGTAAAATCACCATTAACCTTTAGAAATACATCGTGATTCATTATGTCACACAATTTTACGTAGTAGGGATTTGACTGCATTATGTGAGCGACAATGCGAGCATGCATATATAAACTTATAAATTGAGATTATCTATTACTATTATAGATAATATCAAGAAGAATGAAGTTCAAAGAATGAAGTCATCCAATGAGTCAACCAAATATGGTAAAATTGGCTTTGGTCGTTCCATCCATTATCTAGTCAAAGCACGCTACTATGGTAAAGCGGGGTGTGGCACCTTATACATATTATGATGAAAAAATTCTAGAATATATTGACATTGAGATAAAAAGATAGTTGTCGAAAGCAAGTAAAATTGAAATATAAAAAAGGTAAGGTGTACATTACTCAAATCCTTCAACAAAAACAGGTAAGTCAAACAGCACACAAAGGAGTCAAGAAAAGTATCATTATTCTCTTCCAGAATAATGTCATCAATAGTAATTATGAAATAAAGATTGCTTCCACCACGCACAAGGAATACATAAAGCTCTATATACCACAAATGTGGTGTTTGTTTGAGTTCATATAATGTTTAACACAATTTACCACACACAGTTAGGGTGTGTGGAACTCCAATATATAGACTGTGGTTCCATATATATACTACTCATATAACGTCTTATTAAGAAAATCATTATTTACGTCTAATTGATGCAAAGACAACCTAAGCAAGAGAGCAATAATAATAATTATAATTGTCATCATCATCACGATAATGAGCCAAAAGGTGACCAATTCTGTAACCAGATTGAAAATCTCAAAGTAATAATTACTAGAATTACCTCAGAAAGCTTTTGGTAATCAACCAAGTCTTACATAGATCATTGATACTTTCCAATTTTGTTTAATACAAAAGACTCATTCTCAATGAATGGGATGATAAGGAAAGTGAAGAACCAAGACTTATGCTTGTTTTCAAATAAGAGCATAATGCTCATCATTCTTTGTAGCATGCCAAAAAAGATAATTTGATACTGAAAATTTATAGGTTCAACTGTTGCCTTCCAGTTGTTAAATTATTAAGAAAATCATTAAAATAATGACAATTTAGTTTTCAAGATCATCCGTCCATATTAGGAGAAGGAGGAGAGATGAAGGAGATGATGTAGAAGTAGGAGTAAGTGATAATCAGAGGAGATATGAGAACAAGAGACTAGTGATGAAGTGACCAAAAGGATAAAGGTTGCACGTATGCTGAGAACGTAAAAAACATATTCACTTTGTACTCATTTAGATTACAATATTTCTTTTTTGTAATTTAATATTAAGTTGCATAAAAAAACTTTCTCAAATTACCCCCAATAGGCCTTGTGATGATGTGTAATAAATGAGTACCTATTTACTGTAGATGATTAAAATGGTATGAGTATCATAATGTGGGTAAACATATTAAATGGAGGGTAATTTTATCAAAAAAGTGTATGAATTAGACCATTGCAATCTATTTTGGAACTAGAAAAAGAGAGAATGTTGTCATCAAAACTTAGACCGGGGAGTATGAATTGCTCATAGACAAATTATGAGTCACAAATTGATTAGAGAATATAGATGACACGAAAAGAGTGAGGGGTATAGGTATTGTAGATATAGAGGAAAACTGGAGATAATATTCTTCTCATTCAAACACATTCTAAATTTAAACTATTCCCTCCGTTCACAAATAAACTTCTCATTTTCTTTATTTGTTTGTCCACAAAAAACTTCTCATTTCCTTTTTTGGCAAAAACTTAATCTTAAAAATACACTACTACCCTTGTCATCTTAAACAATTAACCCCTCTACCCACCTCTCTCTCTCACCACGCACTCTGCTCCTCTCCGATTTTTTTGTTAATTCCATACTCTCTAATCCAGTTGGTGTCGCTACTCAGGCGACTAGGCGCTCAGGCAACTAGGATTCATCCTCACCGATTTAGATGACATCGAATTAGATGGTGGCGACCTTAAATCGATATTTTATGTGCAACTCCCTTCAGATCTGAATACAAGGGAAAATCCCTCAGATCCGAATAGATCTCTGCAGGCCGCATCATCTTTGTTTCCGTGCTAGGTCAATTTTTAGATCTATTTGTATGTTCAATTTTCATACTTATTTTTTTTGATCTATTTCGTATGTTCAATTTCCGACGGGAGAAGATGGAGATGAAGATGGAGGGTGGCTATTGGGTTGAACGAAGGAGGAGATGGAGATGAAAATGGTGAGTGGCTATTGGGTTGGGTTGAAGGAGGAGTTGGGAGGTGGATTGGATGAAGGAGAAGGGAGGGGTATTTTGGGAAAGTCAAATGCATTATCACTTTACCTTAATTTGCGTGTTGGGTCAAATCAGAAATTTTTTTTGGATGGAGGGAGCATTTGGTTAATATTTATTTAATGTATAAAAATAAAATGTTCTTTGTGATGGAAGTTTAGAGCTTGTTCTCTAAACTTTTTTTTACTTATTACTACTAGCTTTTATTAAAATCAAATAAAAACCAATTTTATATATAACCACCATCAAGTTAACACCAAAGTTCCCATGACATTACTCGACAATGTATTTGAATGAACTAGAGGTGCTCCAGTGTCCCATTCATAAAATTTACAGGTACCAAAGCACTCCGCGTCATCACATGACATTGAATTCCAATGTCATTGTAACCCGGTATCAAATTAAATACTCTCTTCGTCCCACTCTCTTTGTCCACTTACCTTTTGGCACACCATCCAATGCACTTCTTTAATTCATTTTATTTTGCAATTTGTATATTAAAAAATTATAGAAATTATATATTAATAATCTATATGTTAAGACAATCAAACAAGATCACATATGACTATATTTAGGCTTACACATTGAGAGAATTTGAAAATGCTTAGATGAACAATTCCAAAAGTCAAAAAATGGATAAAGAGATTGGGATGGAGGTAGTACTTCCTAATAAGAACTTAATCAAATCCGCACCCAAATACCATGACAAGTGTTTTACGTGAGTAATTGAACGGCAAAATCTGTCGGACCCGTCTCAGGTGGTCATCATCTCCGAACTCCAGAGCGCATGTCACTTGGCTATCATTTCATCCGCTCACTGCCACTCACTTCGGACCTCACCCGTCTCCTACAGGGCCGCATTCCCACTGTTCATCTTCTCCAAATCCACGCTAGGGTTTTCCTCGCCGGCGCACACCAAGACAACCTCGTCGCCACTCGCCTTATCGGTCAGTACCCGCCCAACCTCGCTCTCCGCGTTTTTCATCATTTGCGAAAACCCAATCTTTTCCCCTTCAACGCCATCACCCGGGTCTTATCTGAAGAGGGTTTATATGTCGATGCATTCTTGGTGTACAAAAAACTTAACTTCCTGCGCCTATCGCCTAATGACTTGACATTTTCTTTTCTCCTTAAAGCGTGTACCCGCGCTGGGGATCCGATCTGTGTTCGGCAGATTCATACCCATGTTTTAAAGTTTGGGTTTTTAGTGAATTCGTTTGTCTCTAATGGCTTGTTGAGCGTGTATGCCAAAACCCTGAAGGATCTGGAATCTGCTTCTAAGCTGTTCGATGAAATGCCTGAGAGGAATGATATTTCTTGCTGGACTTGTCTGATATCTGGATATGCCAAGTCTGGCCAATCTGAGAAAGCTCTGTCCACATACTTGTCAATGGTTAAGAATAATCTGAGCCCCAAAAATGACACCATGGTTAGCGTCCTCTCTGCTTGTTCGAATCTTGATTTTGTGCAGGTTGAGTATTGGGTCAGGAATCTGTTAGACACAGCTTACCATTGTGGTTTGAATGACACAATTTGTGACTCTGTGAAAACAGTTCTTGTTTATTTATATGGTAAATGTGGAAAGGTCGATAAGAGCAGGGAGATATTCGACCAGGTCTCAGCTGATGGGAAATCAAGTGTGGTTTCTTGGAACACCATCATCACTTCCCTTGTCCAAAATGGTTTTGCTTCGGACGCTTTGGATCTTTTCTCGCTGATGACAAAACACCACAAATGTAATCCAAACCATGTAACTCTGGTCAGCCTGCTCTCTGCTTGTGCCCAACTTGGTTGTTTGGAGCTCGGCATTTCTCTCCACAACCACATAAAAGCAAACCAACACGAACGCGATGCCCACGGGCTTTTGAATCGCAACCTTGCAACCGCATTGATAGACATGTACTCCAAATGTGGGTGCGTGGAGAAGTCAAGGGAAGTGTTTGAACAGCTGGTTTCAAAAGATGTAGTCTCGTATAACGCTATGATCATGGGGCTGGCAGTGAATGGTGAAGGAAACACCGCGATGACACTTTTTGAAGAAATGTTAGAGCTTAAGTTGCAACCCAATGCCCAAACATTCCTCGGTGTACTATGCGCTTGCAGTCACTCAGGACTTCTAAAGAAAGGCCGCCAGATGTTCCAAGAAATGAGCCAAAGGTTCTTCATTTCCCCTAAAATGGAACACTACTCCTGCTACATTGACCTTCTCTCCCGGATGGGACACGTTGAAGAAGCACTTGAAGTGGCAACCTCAATGCCCTTCAAACCAAACAGTTTTGTCTGGGGGGCTCTTCTAGGGGGATGTTTGGTTCACAGGAAAATGGAACTTGCAAACCACATCTCGCGTAAGCTTGTCCAGGTGGATCCGGACAGCTCAGCTGGATACGTGATGATGTCGAACGCATTTGCTGTACATCATCACTGGAACAATGTTTGGATGCTGAGGTCATCTATGAAAGAAAGTGGAGTAAGCAAGCAACCGGGGCGCAGCTGGATTTGCATGCAAGGGAAGGTTTATGAGTTCCTTGCTGGATCCTCTGCATCAAAGTTTCAAGATGAAAGAATATTCAGTACACTTGAGAGATTGTTGAAGGAGATGAAATTGCCTGGTACATAGGGAATTTTTTTAAAGGTTTTTTTTGTAACTTTCATCAAAATATTTATTGCAAATGCAAATAGTTCCCATTCTTGGCATGTATTCTTTGATCAGCTTACAAAATTAATTCTGTAATGTGTGATTTTCTGTCATTTCTGTGTTTTATTTGGCATCATTTTTAGACTCCATAATTTCTATATTGGTGTTTTCTAGCAAAACTCACCCTCAGAATGTATTGCATTAAGTTTTTGTTCTATCAATTGAAGTATGAAATGAGCTTGATTTTTTTTGAAATTTTAAGACAAGGATCTATTAATTAGTAATTCTTAATCGCGTGGTGAGTTTTATATAGAAAAAAAATTAAATTGAAAGAAATGAAAGTTGTAACATTTGTCATAAGAATCATTGTTATAAGAATAATTCTCTTGGCTAGCTAAAGAATTCATGTTCTTATAAAAAAAGCTTGATTTTAAAAAATGTATATACGCCAAAGACTTTGTGGCTCAGTAACATCACATTGTCCATCCCAAATGCGAAATCACAAGTTCAAACCCTAACGAGGCAGGAACTTTATGTTGTTTAATAACTTGAAAATATATGAACATATATTACATTATAATAGAATTATTACTCCATCCGTCCCAACTTATAGTGCATGTTCACTATTCACAGGGTCAAACTTCATTCACTTTCTTTCTCTTTTTTCGATAAAATAAAGTACTATTGTCACTACTAGTTTTGTAGATCTTTTGATGTGTAATTTTCATTTTTTAATTCTATACCATTTGTCATATAAAGTGATTTGAAAAATAGTTTCAGTCAAACATCAAAAACCGAAATAGACGCTATAAATTAGGACGGAGGGAATAGTTTTTTGAAAAAATTACGGAGTATATACATATCATAAAGGTCAGAGAGGCTTCGGAATCCTACTAATTACTCCCAAGGTTCAAATCTAATAAGGCTCCGTTTGGTACGTGGAATTCAAACTATGGAATTAGAATTGAGGACTTCAATTCCAATTCTAGTGTTTGGTAGCACAAAAATTATGTAGATTTGGAATTGATAGTGTAAAAAATGAATTCGAATTGACAGAATTCAATTCTATGGAATTGAATCCCATGAAATTTCAATTCCAATTCAATTCCAATTTCGTCAATTCTGTATACCAAACGGACCCTAAGTAATTTCCAATAATTCAATCAAATCAAGGCTTGTCTGATAAATTGTTAGGGACCATTGAGGAGACAAAAGAGATCAAAGCCTAATTATATAATTAAGACAACTCATATGTATGCATATTAGGAACAGTAATCTGGTATTCAATCTTCTTCATCAAGAGTTAATTATAATCATCAATTATTTATGCTTAATCATGCTTTGCTTTTTTTAGTTGAGGATGCCTATAATGTCCTTGGACTTGTCAAGAAATATTATCATGTTACACGTATGCCATCTCTTTCTATTTTAAATCGTCATTTTTTAATTTCACAAATATAAAAAGTACAAAAAAGATACTACATATTAAACAGTGAAATGTGAGTGACTAAAATTTTATTTGATAAAGAGAATAGTATTTTTAGCTACATATTTAACAAAAAAAACTAAAATACAGAATACTTTGTACTCCCTCTGTCCCAAATTATAATGTCTGTTTTTCTTTTTTGTCCATCCCAAAATGATATGCATTTTTCTTTATTTGGTATGATTATTTATATAGACTTCCCAAAATACCTTCCCATGTAATTACTCCTACATTCATACTCACCCTTTCTTACTCCTACCCATCTTAAAAAAATAAAGTGAGGAGCAATTTAAGAAAGTCAAATTTAATTTTTACTTACTTAAATATGGTCTAAAGTCAAAATAGACGTTATAAAATAGGACGGAGTTAGTATTATTTTGTCAGTAATGATTTTTTTTGTAAAAGCCCAAACAAGACTATTTGTTTGCAGGCGTGTTCCTAAGATTTTTGGGCCCCGGGCGCAAAAAAAAAGTTGAGCTCTTACAAAAGTCATTACAACTTCAAATAATTTTTAATTAAAATTGAAGCTCAATGAATACAAAAGTAAATGTTTTCAATACAATGGAAAATATAAAAAAATTAAATAAAAAAGAATTAAATTGCTCTAATTGACAATTATGACAATTGTATTGGCAACATGGCATTCAAGAATTCTAATACACACATTATTAGTAATACTCTTGTAAGACAATTTCCTATCTTTAAATATAAAAGGTAGAAGTGAAAAATATTTCTAAGCCTGGACAAAATAAAAACTCTCCCGTCACTAAATTAATGTTCTCTTTTAAACAATGTACAAAATTTGATCTATTTTAAATTGATTATACGTAAAAATTGGTATAACAATAAAATGTACAACTTACATATTTTAAAAACACAAAATATATACGAAAAGCAAACGCGACATAATTATTTTATTTTATCAAAATAATAATTGAAAATGCATATATGAATAAAACCTATCAATAACTTCAAACAGCATTCAAATACTCCCTCCGTTCCTTAAACCCCCCTTTCATTTTTTTCCAATTTTCTAAAACACTTTCAATTTCTATTAAAAAACCATTTTTACCTCTACTTTTTCATACCTTACCTATCACATCATATTTTTTTACTAATAACCAAACTATCACATCAAACGCAAAATTGGAAAGTCAACCAGAATTAAATTTTCCTTAATTTGGCTAAAAGTCAAAACAGGACCCTTTTAAGGGAACAAAGGGAGTAATTATTATCACAACAATTTAGAGACGGAGGGGGGGAGTATTTATGAATAATTAGAAAAATAGTCGCCGACTAATTAAATTGATTTAGGTCTGACAAACTCCTTCCGTCTAAAAGTTATCTTTCCGTTCACTATTCACAGAGTCAAATTTTATTCATTTTATTAGCGTACTCTCACCGTCCATTTGATAAAATAATATAATCATTTCACTCGTAGTTTTGTAGATCTTTAAATGTGATTTTTTAATATGTAATTTTTATTTTTAAATTTTAAAATATTTTCATATAAATTACTTAAAAATAATTTCAATCAAACATCTTAACGTAGAATGAAAAGATAATTTTTAAACAAATGGAGTATTGAAGTATTTTAACGTGGGATATGAACTAATGATCGAATAATTGAGGATGCATGTGACCCCACAACAAGATGCAGAAAAAGACATTTCAATCCAGGATCATTCCATTCCCGATCGATACCCTTGTGTACAACTTAAGTAATCAAATGCTCCTTTGTTTAATGGGAAAATGATGCGAGTGAAATGCCAGGCAGTGTACTGCGAGGGTAGGGAGGGGGGCTGGGGTGGGGGCAAGGGTGGGGGCAAGGGTGGGGGATTTAGGGGGAAAGTTAGGGAGTTAGAACCGTTTTTACAAACAGAGCACTCTAGGTACTCCAAACGAACTGGTGTAAGCAAATGACTTCGGTAGCACTGATGTCATTTTAGACTTACCGTATAAATAAATATGAATAAGAAGGTAACGAATAATCAAACACTATCATAACTAATACTACCATAAGCAATACTTTTATTATTATTATTATTATTGTCTAACACTACAATTTGAAAAAGTTACTTCAAAATAATGCATAAATATCTCTTTGATAAGAATACAAACAACAACAACAACAACAAGAATTATAATAAATCTCAAATACTTCTCTAATCTAATATCATATACTTATACTCCCTCCGATCTGCCTCAAATACCTATCCTGATATCTCGATAATTTTTTTGTTTGCACGTTTTCGTTGATTATTTGATAAAATAAAATATTTTATTACATTTTGTTTTATAAACTTTTGATATAGTTTTTACAAATATAATTTCTATTTTTTTATTTATATTCTACTTTGTAAACAAAATGGTTTTAAAAGAGATAGAATTTTGCACGTTATTTGAAATAAATAAAAAATTCTAAGGTTTGGAAAATTGGGACTAATACCCCTTCTGTTTTAAAAACTTATTTTTAAAGCCTCTGTGGTTACAAAATGCTGATTTTCTAAACTACAGAGGGCATTCATGCTCATTTTTTATTTTGTATTTTTTCTTTTTTTATCTCTTTGTTTCCTTTCCCGATAAAAGTTTTTTAAAATTCTTTTCAATTTTTTATAATATTTTTAAAAATTCAAAATTCTTTGTGTTGAAATGAAAAAAAATAAATTAACATATACTCCATCTATCTCAAATTAAACATTTTCACTCTTTGTTTTCTAGAATAATTTTTTTTAGTAGGTTCAAAAAAGAAAATCCATAATAGAAAACTACGAAAAAGAATATGGAAAAAGTGAAATGAAAAAAATTTAAACATGCCAAAAAGAGTCTTATACAAAAAAAATCAAAAAAAGATATTCATTTTTATTTTTGTTTTATTTTATTTTAAATTTTATTCCTTATTTTTTGAAGTTCTCAAGAAAATTTTATTTAATTTATTTTGGAAAACAAAAGATAAAAATTGTTAGTTTGAGACGTACGGATATAGTATATGTTTTTTTTCAAACAAAACAATTTTAAATTTTAAAAACATTATCGAGACAGTTTTACAAATAAATTTAAAAAACCTTCATCAATAAAATTAAATAAACAAGTAAAGGAAAAAAGGGGGAAAACAATAAATAAATGAAAAATAACAAATGAATACGTGTGCCCCTATAGTTTAATTTGAAAAATAGGCCCCTTTGTATCTCTTTGATGCAGTGATAGATCAGAAGAAGTAGCAACCGTAAATAGAAGATGTTTGAGATTGGTTAACTTGTATGTAAGTAAATTTTCAGAAAAATTGAAAACAGAAGCACCGTATATCTTGTTCTTCGAAATGATGTTCTATGTACAAAATGATACCAAACATGATAAAATAATTACCAGTTAAAACATAAGCAAAATTCTAAAATGCAACGAGTGTCCAACACTCTCTTAATATCTTAAAACTCGCATAATTTCTTTGAGATTTAAAAATGTAAATCATTCCTTGGGGGTCCAATGCTAATGGTATGCAAAAATGCAAGATTAAAATATAAGCAGGGGCCGTCCATGTGTTTCTTGTCTGATTAATTAATCAGTAGTAATTATTAATTAATCATATAATGGGAATTGATATAAAGTTGATCATACCAGCTTTATATATACTGGCGGGAGGGATTCTGACATAAACTAAAGTTAGTTTGTAGGTACAAATTAAAGAGAAATAAATCCCAATATAATCAATCCCCCGAGGATTCTTTATATCTTCATATTCCATTGGATTTCATATGTATATCTTCATTTCATGTGGCCGAATCCGAGATGTTATTGAGCTAGCTAGCTGGTTGTTGGTCAACATCACCACTCTTTAACTTTGTGGAGGGAGTAGTTTGGGTCGAGACTT